TTGCCCCTGACAAGCTAGTCACACAGCTCTTCCTTCTTAAACTCACTACCCTGCCCTCTCTGAGCCTTTATATGTTTTACACATGCACGGCTATTCCATCTGCCATGAATGCCCTTCCCCTATTTCTACCAAACTCTTGTTCCCCTGGCCAAATTCTATGCATCCTTCAGGTCTTAACCTCCCAGACCGGTGTTATCTGCTTGCATAGAATCCTGCGACACCCTTACCACAAGTGGCATTTTAATTGTTTATTTGTAGTCATTTTATTAAAAGTCTGCCTTTTACAATAGTCTATAAGCTTCTTGAAGATAATAACTACAATTGTTCTGCTCACTCAAGTCTCTCCTGCCCTGGTCATCAGCTCTGGCACAGAGGAGCTTAGTAAATATTAGTTGAGTGACTTACTTATCACAGTGCAAACACTGGACCTATAAGAAAAAAATTAGTGGAAGACAGAAAAAGACCAGGGGGCAAGGCAGGGGGAGCACTGCATTTTTGAATGCCTGTCGTTTTGTCTGGTGATAGTTCACAGGCTGCCCATGGGGAGAGCCCAGAGTTTCAAATTCTCAAACATTTCCTCCAGAAGTTGGGCCCCTAGCTACAAAAGGAGCAAAATCCTCCCAGCCAAAAAAATAAAAATAAAATGATTTCTTTCCTGATGTATTTATCTGAAATAGCTATAAAAGTCTTCTATTCTGGAGGGTCAGGAAGAAATGAGGACAAAATGGTTTTAACATTGGCCCTTGCTCTCTGTACTAATTGCTTTGAGAGTCGAAAGCTTGTTGAGTCTGTTCCATCTGGGAGAAGGAATCAGTGGGACCAAGGCCAGAGAAGTGGTGGGCTGACATCTAGTCTGTTTCGTCAATGAAATCTGGAGGAAAGCTTAATTTCCCATTTCTCTTCTCTTTTCACCTACAAATTGAGGGGCTTGCCACATGTGTGATCCTTGCCAGCCTCCACACCTGTGTTAGCGCTCTTCCAGAGAAGAAATACTCATTGAGCACTTGTCATATATCATGGACCATGCTAGGTGCTTTCCAAACATCCTTTAGCTCTCATGAGCATCTGCTAAGTGTCCATCTCTTCACTTTACTCAGAGGAAACTGAGTAAGTAACTCAGCCAGCATTACAGAACCAAAGAATATTGCAGCCCAGGACTGGAACCCAGCTGAAATTTATTCAAAGAGTCTTCTTCTTTTTCTTTCTTTTCTATTACACCACTCCAATTTAATATTTGAGCTCTCCATTTAATACTACTTTTGGGGTTTCAAAATAATCACTAAGGCTTATTTGAATGAAATAGAATTATCCCACCATGTTACAACAAAAAGGAAGATTTACATAAAACAGAATCCAAGTGTTGCTGTTGTGTGCTGCCGTGTTGCCTTTCCAAGGAGGAGAATCTTTTAACGGGAAAAACAAATCTGGGCTACGAAAGAGATTTGATAGGAAATACCCAACAACGTTTAAACATTTGGATGAATTCACTTCTAGGAATTTCAATCCTTTCTGAAATTCTCCCAACTTCACAATGGTTTGGGCTTAGCATTTACAAAATGAAGACTTTTTAAACCAACAGGAAATGCAGACCCTGGAATGAAAATCCCATGGCATGGAGTACAACTTCATGAGATCAAGTCCTGGCTCATTTATTGTACGAAGAATTTAGGGAGCATTTGTAAGTCCTGAGCAGCTGATAACACTTGGCAGTATGCAGAGATAGGATCCCAGGGATGTGTAACACCGATGGAAGGATGCGGAGCTCAGTGGGTCCTCCAGTGTTCTCTGCACGGAGATAGTTCTAAAGAAGCCAGATATGAAAGTTTCCAGGATAAAACTGAGAGTGAAGAGTGACATACAATCTTAGAAGCCTCTGCATGATGCATAAAAGGATTATTTTTGACATCATATCAGCAACCCATAAATAGGGAGGGATAAGAGTGAAACCAGAGACTCTTTTGGCACCTCCTGTAAACCTACCAACAAGAGGCCAAGAACTTTTTGTCAAAAATATCCAACTTTGCAATATCCCTGTACTCTGTCGTCTAGTGAGTAGCTTCCCACCCAAACATAATATCTTCAGACAGCTGGAAGCTGCATTTGTCAGAAGAGTGCACAAATCACAGCTATATTTCCTTATCTGGATGGCCAAGCTTTAGAACCCTTTGAAATGTTGCAGTCATGGCAGCGAGAGAAACTACAGTACAGACAAAATGCGGATTTCATTAGGGAGTTGTTGTTTTTTTTCCCCCAGACCCTCAAAGGTCTCCGTTTGAGTCTCTCACCTGGTAGCACAAAAGCTATTAAATCACTTGAATGAAAGGGTCAGGTTGCAAGCTGTGCAAGTATGGAAGCCGTCAAGCCCTGTTCAGACCACCCAGCTCTCCAAAGCGCTAGCGACACCAGATTCAGACAAGATAAGAGGCTGCTGTCCTATGTAACCTGGCCCACAGAGACAGCCTTTCTGGAGAGTTACAGGACCCCATTGTGAGGAATGACTGTGTGCTCTGCAAAGGTAGGATTTGCCTAACTCACTCTACCAGTGGTCTCAGTTTCTTATGAGAGAAAGAAAAGTTAAAAGATATTTTTGAAAAATTTTCAGAAGAGCAATAAGCCAAGTCTTTGGGCCTGTTTTCAAAGCAAATGCTAAAAAGCTCCCATTCCCCCTTATCTTTAGAAGACTAAACCAGCCGTGTCCACCAATGTCAGAATTTCAGAGTCTGGAAAGATACTCAAATTCATTTAACTCAATGGAGTTTCTTGACAGAGGAAGTGAAGTTTAGAGAGATTAGCTGGCTCATCCAAGACTGGTCAGCAACAGTTAAGACTTGAAACACCCTGAGGACAAGGGCTCTGTGCGCATACACACGGATCTCTCTGCAGTCCTCCAAAAGTAGCACAGAGCCTGGCACATAGTGGGCACTTGCAAACATTTGGGGTGAGGAGAGGGGAAAAAAAGGAAGGGACACTGATGACCACATCCTATTTTCTTTTCCCTACAAATATACAATGGCATATAATGTCATTGGAGATGAGGAGGGAGGCTGAGTTCTTACTTCCATATGTTGTCAAACGAGGACCTCAGCATAATGGAGGAATCACTTCCTGTTTCTCCCAATCCCGTGGGTTGGTCTAATTGAAACTCAGTTTCTTGGAATTAGGCTCCTCCTGAACAGTCCCAAGAAATAATTCAGCTCAGCTCAGCCCCCTTCAGTCTAGCCCATCCCCAGAAGCTGAGTATCCCTGGGAGGCTGATAAAGAGAGCAGCCCTGGGTTGAAAGTTTCTAAGACAAACACTGCTTGGCCATATGGGGTCAGGTCATCCCAACACACGGGGGAGGGGAAGACATGGCATGCAAGCAGCTTTGCCCAACTCCTCCTCACTCACGGGAATGGAAAGGCAAAGATGGAAAGAAGAGCAAGGAAACAAAGATGAGGTTGGTGGGAAAGCTGCTTAAAAGCCCTGGTGTATCAGCCAAGCATGCAAAGCCATGTTCCATATAACTTATGTTCAACATCAGCAGAAATTCAAGTTTATTATGATATTAACCAAGTATGTGACAAGAATTTAATTGCCAAGGACAACGCAGAGCAGTGCTTTTCCAAATGTAGATCTCATCTGCTTTGGAATCACCTGGGTATACTCTCGGCCCTTTCCCCAGGCCTAAAATCCTTTGGGGGGTGTGGCCTGGGCACCTGCCTTTCAGCAAGCACCCAAGAGGTTCCTAAGCACACTAAGTGTTGAGAATCCCTGAGAGAGAGAGAGAGAGCAAAGGTAGTTAACATTTTCCTAGAATCATGCTGAAGGCACTTTTATCAAGTGTGGGCAGGGAGCTGGGAAGTAATTCTTCAAGCTTTAACTAGAGCCAGGAATGGTGGTGTCAGTTTTCCGGAGCAGAAACCCGAGGAGGCTTTGGATCACTAAGTCTGGTCTGCGAAGCAGCCGTGAAGAGGTTAATCTCTCCAGCAAGATTCCCAGGTCATAAACTCCAACCAGCCCCCGGAAATGCTCTTTTTAAGCTGTGTAATTCACACCAGGCAACAGGACTGAGCACAAGAGTCGAAGAAAAAAAAAAAAAAGGCAGAAAAGAAAATTAAATGCCTTGAAAATTATTTCTGTGACCCAGATGAAAACTAAAAGAAACTACTCACTACAGCACCAAAGAATCTGGGTAATGCGCAGCAAGAACTTAAAAAAAAAAAAAAAGCCTCAAACTTGAGAACAAAATGATTTCTTTGCCCCTCCAACGCTCCTTCTCATCCTCATAAAAATAGAAACCGGGCTCTTAAAAATACATATCTAAATAGAAGTAAACCAAAGCCAGGTATCCAGCCCTCCTGCAAATTTCGACCTCTTCCTACCAGGAGGATATTATCTGTGGTGTCAAGTTTTTCACCGTTTCCCTTTGCCATTTCATGTAGCTGAGCAGAAACCTTCTGATCTGGGCTGGAGAGGGTGGATTACAAAATTGAAAACGGTGATCTCCTCGGTGGGGTGCCACGGGGATGGATTCAGAAGAGACTCCTAAACCGTGTTACATAATAAAGAGACTCCTGTGGTGGGCATGTGGGTTTTTTTTTAAACAGCGCAAACTGCCACCCTCTGAGTTGACGTGAGAATTAAACTTTTGCAAGCGGACTCCGCACTTCTTGCAGGGAGCCTGGAGGCCAAGGCTCCCGTGCAAACCTGGGGCGCGGCGCTACCGGAACCTTCGCACCCCAGAGGAGAGCAAGGGCGCAAAACACACGCCGACAGGTAGTGCAGCTCCTGTCCGAGCTCCAAAGCTAGCAGCCCTGGGCCGGGAAAGCGGGGGAGTCACCGGCCCGGTGGTCTCGGGTGCAGAGGGCTTCGGGAGGCGGCGGGAGGAAGAGCAACCCGGGAAAGGAGCGGGAGCTGGCGTTCCCGTCTTTCGGGTCAGCTGAGTCCTCGCTTTCTTTGCACCAAAACGCCTTTAACCCCACGCAACAGGGAAACAGAGCCTTGAGGTCCCCATACTCACTGCACGGTCCTTGCGGGGCCCCTCCCGGGCGGCGGCGGCGGCGGCGGCGGCTGCGCACACTCGCGGACTGCGGGGCCCCGGGGCTCCCGCGGCGGAGGGCGCGGTCACGGGGCGCGGGGCCGAGAGCCGCTGCCGGCCGCTCCCCTCCGCGGGCCGCGTCCGGGCGTCGCTGTGAGGTCGCGGGCTCCGCCGAGGCGCCTCGCCTGTCCCCGGCGCCCTCCGCTCACTTCGGGCCGCCGCGCTCCGCCACCGCTGAGCCCGCGCCGCCTCTCCCGCCCGCCGCGCCCGGGCACACGCGCGCTGCAGCTCCGCGGACCCCGACTCACGCGCACGGGCGCCCACGGGCGCCCCGCACACACTCGCAGGCGCGCGCGCAGCCACACCCCCACGCACGTGTGTGCACACGCACACATGCCGCACGCAGGTACCCGCGCGCTACCCCCCACCCTCACCCCCACCCCACCCCACCCCACCCCCACCCCCGGCCCCAGGCATGCACGCGCGCTGGCACCCACGCGTGCGTACTCACACACTTTCCTCCTGGACCCTCCAACTCTTCAAACACTTTTCTTTTTTTTTTTTTCCTTTTCCCCTCCTCCTGAACCTCTTTTCTTCAAACCAGATTCCTCCCCGGAGAGGTTTTTATTCCAATTCAGACAAGATGCTCAGCGTTTCCGAAAGGAGGAGGAAGGGGAACTGGCCCCTTTAAAGCAAAAGAGGAGCTTCTGTTCCCAAGCCCCACTTTAGCTGTTCAGTCTACAAGGCTTGTTGCGTGCTTGAGTCTCTTTAAAAAGTCACCAAAAGTCTCATTTACATAGAGTGCATGACCCCACCAATTCAGAGATATCACAGGTCAAGAAACCGCCCCCCCCCCGAAATCCATGTCATTAAACATGTCAGGGTTCAGTGGGCGGGTGAAAGTCTCGGTCCCTAACAACTGCATAATAAAATACTTTCCTGTATTTCATCTCCACCAGAGAATAAAAGTAATGGCACACCATCTGTCCTGACTTTTAAATTGACGCTAAATAGAGAAGTCGAAGTATCATCTCACTCTGGACGAAATGTTTATACTGAGACGTGTCTGGTTGTTCCAAACTTTAGCCAAAAGCACAAGGCTTCAAACTGTAAATCCAGTTCACTCAAGATGGGGTTCCCCTTCAGGAGCTTGCCATGCCATACCCCCTTCCTTGGAAACAATGAGAAGAGAGAAGGAAATTGAAAAGAAAGGAAATAAAATTGCACCAGGGAGGAAGGAAAGAAAGAAAGCAAGCTAGGAAGCAAGCAAAAGAGAGAAAAACAATTATTTTATTTTACGACATGCTTTATGGGTACTTTAGGTATACTTACTCAAAATCACCAGAAATTTAAGATCTTCTAGAATCTCTTGATTCACCCCATTTGCTCTGATAATAAATTAATGAAACTTCTTAAAGAAACATGAAGCTCTCTATAAGTAAACAAACACTGTTGGCTAAACACAATTATTAGTAAACAAAATACAGTGACAATGTGTGACTCCTGTGCTAATGTCAAAAGGGCAAGAAATAAAGCCTTAGTGATACAGTTAGGCAACACAATGTGATAGATGATTTTGTTCTCAGACTGAATTTAAAAATTTATCAGCTTGTGAATATCTTAATGACAAAGAAATGAAAAAGATCATAGATACTATTAGTTGAGACCCGAAGTCCATTTGATAAGAGGAATGATAGTAGGAAGTTGCGTCCATGTGCTTATCCTAACATCTGGGCTAAATAAAGTGCATGGATTAGTCGAGAAACGGAAATAAAGGTTTTCCATCACTTCTATGAAAAAGAAAAATACATCCAGCATCTAAGCAAAAAATAACAAACAAACTTAGATTGAAATGTAGTTCAAAATGTCTGCAGGAAATATAATTTTCTTTAAGTTAATTAGTATATGTATGATGCTTGGCATAACATTATGCTGGACATATTCTAGAAGAGACAAAGATAGAGTTAGGTTCGCCAAAACATCTTGAAATCGGAAGTACTTGCTTACACAAATAAGTCACAATCTCTCTCTTACATCTCCCACAAATGGATGAGGGCTGTTAAAGTCAGACAATTATCAACTTCTATAATGTGCTCCTTGAACAAGTTGAAATTCAAAGCCAAATGTTTAAAAAAAAAAAAAAAACAAGCAAAGGAACAACAAAGGATCCTGCCCCTAAAAGCATATGCTGTTGTGCTGAAACAAACTACATTTTAAAGAAATCATTCTATTTCCAACCGAAGGGTTGGAGTGATGTGAAAGACATAAAATGTTTTGGAGATTAGCATGTGTTGAAGATTAGCATTCTCTTTTGGATTGTAGCATGTATAATTTTTACTGAACAGTTATAGAATACAGTAGTCTCTGAGAAGCACCGCCAACATCTTCACCAAAAACCCCCCACAAGTGAATTAGGAGTGCACCTATTAAATACTGCTGATGGCACCGAGCACATTGCCCTGTGAAAATGGTTTTCCCCTGAGCCTATAAAACCTGATGACCACGGGGAGCAAGGCTGCAACAGGGAGTGGAAGTGGTCACACTCTAAATAGATCAACTTAAAACAAAAACAAAAAGTAAGCAACATAAAAGTAAAATAAAATACCCCATACAGCAAGAAAAGAACAGAAATACAACCCAGCAAGAGTATTGGAGGCAGAGGCTTGCTGAGCTCAAGGTTGGGAGCTGACAAGGTGTATAGGGAATGAAATAAGTCCTGAGAGAGGCAGGAAGAAGAGTGGTGTGCTCTGCTCAAAATCAGAAGAGTGTAGACTGATATCACTCTTAAACATAAGTGCAAAATCCTAAATAACATATTTACAAATCTACACCTATTTTGATAGATACTAGGACCAATATCTAGTATCTATCAAATTTTTGGATGGCAAGGATGGTTCAAAATGAACACATCTAGCAGTTTTGTCTTTTAAAGGAGAAAAAAAAACACAATTGTCTTCATAAATGCAGAAAAGCACTATTCAGTAAAACCATTACTAGCCAACTAGGAATAGAAGTCTTTCCATACAATCAGAGACATCTATCAGAAATCTTGCACTTAATGGTAAAGTTTTAGTAACAACTAAAGAAGGAACAGAACAAAAATCCCTGTTACATTGCCCACAATTCAACATTGGATAAGAGATCTTAGCCAATGCCATAAATCAAGAATAAAAAATAAGGCAGGATGATTGGAAAGGAGGAAAATAACCCTATTATTTGTAAAAAGATATGAGTCTCTCTATAAAATATCTTTTTAAAATCACCTCAATGAGAGTGCTGGAAGAAGGTGCTCCTGGTGGAAGAGATACTGAAGGGACAGACTTTTCCAAGCAAACACTAAGTAATGCACTTGTTAACAAAGGATCCTTCTCCTGGCACTTATTTTATGTCAGGAACCAAGGGTCCAGCTGGAGACCTGAAACAATTAATAATTTAGGTCTTGTCATTTTATGATGGCTGATATTCAAATCATATACTTTATTGAATCAATTAGAACAGTGTTTCCCATCCTCCATTTCAAGGCTATTGATTATGGAAATGGGAATTTCAGACTAAAAATTCTACTTATCACATTATCAAGTCCACATTTGTCCACTGAATTCCAGCAGGAAATGAAAACAAACATTCCATTTCACCATGCCCTCACAATTGAAAATACTTGTGGCAGTGCATTTTTCTCATTAATTATTAACTTGAACACAGCTTCAAATGCCAGCATTAAAGTAAACAGACATTAGGATGTCCGTACATGCATTAAAAACATGAAAAAAAAATCATCAGGAATCCTTTTTATATCCATCTTTTATAGGAAAAGGAAAAATGCATCAAAGGCAACATAAACAACTTAATTTTACGATGTTTTACATTTCAACTATCTGTGAGATTTGGGAGTGATTTGGTCTTTCATAGCTTAGCACCAGGAACAATTTTATCTTTCCAAGCATACATAACATAAGGAGTTAGGAGGTTTCATGTATTTTTTACTCCAGAAAAATCTCCTAATTCCAAAAAAAAAAAAAAAATCTCCTAATTCCAGCTCCTTCAAAAGATATTGAATTTTATATCAGAAAAAAATCCAAATAAAAATAGTTGTTACCTTTATTTAAAAAAAAAATCATAGCAACCTAGGCCAAGTCTGGATACTGAACTCTGAAAGAAACAACAAACCCACAGGCAAAAGATACTTTTCACATCTTAGAAATAAATGGCACATATCTACTAACAAAATCCCAGACTTGTTTAGAAATATGAGGCTGAAATCACATACTGTATAGGTCTTGCAAGAATCGGAATGAGCTGATCTATTAAATTATCTGCAACAAGGGTTACTGAACCTTAGTGTAAGCTAGGCTCTGCACAGGCCATGGGAGGGACAGGGATGAGTAAGACCTACTTCCTGCTCTCAAAAATCTTACATACAATCAGAGAAGATAAGAATATATAGAGAAATATTGTATATTGAGATGCAATTAAGGATAGCCAACAATTATTGAACACGTACCCCCTTATGTACATGGTCACCTACATGCATTTATTAACTAATTTAATCCTGACAACTCTAATATCGTGAGTGGATCTAAGAGCTCAAACCATAGCATCCGTTGTCTCTCCTTCCATTGACCAGCTCTGCTTTGTTTCACTCTGTATATTAACCTTATTTTCTCCTGGTAAATACAAGCTTTTCCTTTTTCTTTTTTAAATTTTTATTTCTTTTTTTTTTAACTGAAGTATAGTTGACATATAATATCAAATTGGTTTCAGGTGTACAAAACAGTGGAGATATATATATATAATATATATATATATATATATATACTTTTGGTTAGTGAAATGTCTTTCCTAGGACCTCCTCTTGACTGTACTCTTAATGAGAAAAGGTAGTGTTGTGCATGAGCATCGAGGACATTTAGGTCAGATCTTTCCATTTTCTTGTGTAAGAATTTGAACAGAATTTACCAAAATGTCATATATGCCCTGCTCCCCCTTGAAAACGGAACTTTCAAGGGGGGGTCCTTTCTTTTCTTTATTTAAATTTCTGCTATTAGTGCATCATGAATGTTTTAAAAGCACTAATTTATATGGTTTAATATTAATTAAAGGTATTCTTTATGTGAATTACTTGCATTTGTTACTTATGTAGGAAAGATGTTAGGGTTAGAAGCTGATGGCCAAGAAAATATATATATATATAGCTCACCATGATCAGTGTAGTTGTATAGGATTTTTAAGGGAAAAAAGACAGCCAGAAGCCCAGACCTACATTCCTAT